ATAAGGAACGCCTGAGTCCCCGCAGTGGGGACGAAATAAAGGGCTGATGATGATTATTTTCTACACGAGCTCTTCGTCTATAAACTTTAAACTAAAACTTTTTCAACCATAGACATAATGATTCTAGCTTTTCTTAAATTTGACCTGAGTTTTTTTTTATTTTGCTTCTCATAAACACGATATACATAGGTATATAAATAAACAAGTTTCATTATGCAGCAAATATATAATTATTGAACTTTGTTTAAATAATGCACTCTCTAATTACAGGGTTTCTATATTCACTAGCAGTCAACCTGGCTATTAAAACTCATATTGCGTGGGCGTTATTTGTAATACCATATACATATACAAGACATGATATATATGACATATACATAAAAAGTATTCGGGTATCTTTGAAAATGAGTTTTATATATTTAAATAATGCTATCATATATGTATTTTTATAGGTTAAACTACCCATTAATTATTTTAAAGAAGTGTAAATCACATACTATTCTTACGCAATTACACCTGATTTGGTCGTACCGTTCGCAAGTAATAAATTATTTAGTACTGTTCCTAAAAATCTTTATACATGGAGAAAGCGAGCTAATGGAAGTGATAACGTACCTAAAAAAATGTCTTATAAAGAAATATTTTTGGATATCCGGCAGACATTGGAGGATAATAATTTACCTTACCGACTTCACGTCGCTTACTGAGTTGCTGAATTAAAAAGAGAAAGATTGAGGCGGCCTTCAACCTCGAAGACGGAATAAAACCTCAAAGTCTAAGAACAAAACCTCAAAATATAATTTATTTTTGATTAAAAATCATCAGATTTATTTTTAAATTAAATCTTCTGTTTTAAGATTTATGTTTAGTCGGAATTCTAAAGGTATCATCTAGCAGTATACAATCCTTTTTACAGTAGACAGTGTCTGCACTCCAGGGTTTTGAAATTATTGAACACCCTTCATATATTACTAGTGATTTTCACCTATTCCTTAAATGCAGGGACTATAGCCGTGGTACTTAATTTGAGGACGACGACGTCGAAGAGTTTTTGGAAGTCAAGATTTTTTTTCGAAGTAATTAGAAAGTCAGAAAAGCGGCAGGAAATAACGTTGAAAAACATAAACATTATGTGTATGAATATATATAATAGAAAAACATAAACATTATGTTTATGTTTTCTCGTATTATTATAGCATTATCGTTTAATTAAAAGCATTTTGCGTTGACGTCAGTTATGCGTAACTTAATTTTTGTGTATATCCTACATATCATTAGTATTGCAAATTTTGTTGCGCTCGCAACAAAAAACAATGTAATTTTATTATAATATACCTAATATTTTGCTGTTGAATGTGAATAATATGGTTACTTTCTAAATTAGCAATAATGTCATCAATAGTTAAGTTTCATGTCTTGTTAACTATGCCAGTTAAACGTTGTGATGGGCTAACTAATTGATGTTCGTTTAGTCGGTTTTAAAATTGGCTAGCCGCCTAATCAGGTGATTGTTTTTACCTGTTGGCTGCGACGTATACACAAGAAATCTATCTCAACTTCTTTCGTTTGTTTACACAAGATTTCCTCAATTTTCGTTGGACAAAAAACTGCTGCAAGTTTAATAGTCGACAAAGCAGCTGTGACTTATATTGTTCTTAATTTAGATGTGTCTTATTATATGGTGCAATGAGTGGAATAATTAACTATTTTCGGTACAAGTCTAGATGTAGGTAGATTGAGTACAATTTTTTATCAATTTCGCGTGTTACGCGCCTACATTTTAATGGACGGCATTTTAAGGTAACAAGGTTAAGCTTTGAGATATATTTTTAACCAAAAATTTGTAAATATCGGAGCTGTAGGCATTCCATATAATTATTGGTGTTTACTTGTTTATATAGGCGAAAAGGTCGTGAATGCTGCTGAGAGAGAAGACGAAAGGCGCTTTAAGGACTATGGGCAACAAGGCAATAAACGGACACCAGGCATTTAAGCATTTTTCGGGTATCTTCGTCCGTTAGTTTTAGGCACTCCCGTTGGAATTTCCCTATTGTCTTCATTAGTACAAGTATACTTTTGGAGTAACTATTTTTATTATCCATTTACACATCAGACTCGTAATTATATTTTCATTCTTGCATAGAGATGTTATAATTTTGCTTTTCTGTATAATTATTTTCTTCTAAAGGTTCTACAAATGGTGAATTAACATATGTAAATTGGACATCAATTAGCTGGGTCAATTCCATAATAATGATTTGAAATTACATAATGATGACGCTTGATAAACGATTGGTGTTTGCAGTATATGAAAAAGATCAATCGCAGACATACTGCTGTCCATCTTCTTAACACAATCAAACCATAATAAAGTTTTGTGGCACCTTTGTTTCATGTAATGTTATATGAATTTATATAAAAGAATAAATAAATTAAATATTCTTGTAAAAAGGTGTCTTTGCGCTTTTATGAAAAGTATGAAAGTATCATTTCTTTTAGGCACCGACAAACTAAAATCCATGGTACTTTTCATAGTGCGGCACCAGACTTGGTTGTGGATATTTTGGGGTAAAGCCCTTTCTGGAGTAGTAGCAGTGGACGTTTCCAGCTGATATGATGGTGATAATCGTTGTATAAGGTCTAACTATTTCGAATTATCGCTCCTCGTTTGCTAATTCTACTATAACAGCTTATGCTCAAAATACTTCCCATGTTATACGAATGTTTTCATTTGATCATATGTTTTTAAGAATGCTAGTAAACATTAGACGTCACCTATTGATAAATAATAACGCTTTGGGGCGCGAGAAATCTATAAATTAATGTTTCTAAAAGATTGGATGTTGTGATTCACGTTCATTATAACTGAATCCAGATAAAATCTTGACTTTGTTCTTCAATAATCATTTCAACATTTGAAAAATCCCATAAGTCATTAGCTTTTTCGTCTGTCCCCATGAAGGACTCAGCTGCCTCCTAATAGGACTACTTAAATAAAGTTAAATTCATAAAATACACTGGTTAAATCACAATCAAAAGGAATTGTTAATACGTATATATATATGTGCGGAAATATAAGAAACAATGTATGATATTAACCTGGCTTGTCTATTCCTTTATTATTTCTTCATCAACTTCTACAGCATCAGAATTGCCCAACTACAGATATTCTTCATCTCCAGATACCGAGTACCGAGTACTTCAGAGTCATTTCTTACTTTTGTCATTAAGTCTTTACTATCGATAATACTATCCATATTTTCTTAGTGCAATAAGTAATGAATTTATTTCACTAAGAACAAAGCGTTTCATTTATTTCAGAATCGTTTCTTTTTATGTTTTTATAATTTATCGCCAATACTTTCTTGGTATTTCCGAGATCTTTATGCCTTCCAGATGCTACTCGTACGATATAAATGTATTACTCTTTTAATTAATTGAAACTATAACATGTTTGCAATCGGAAAAAGACAGTCGCCACGTTTACACTCGTACTCGTATTTTCATCTGGTCTGATGCTAGTAACAAAATTCTTCTTATCTATACCAGTGTTTCTTTTAACTTTAGAAGTCCGAGGCAGTTTTTCTAACTTGAGGGTTTCGAACATATATATTCGGGTAATTTAATTTATTTTTAAACTATGGAGATTTAAATTTTGTATATTGTGGTGTTTCATATTTTATTAGCAATTTATTTTGGAAAAAGTACACTCTTCTTTCATGTGTCTTTTTTATAGTGATCGGTGCAGGTGTTCCATTTTAATCAATGACTCTCATTAATTTTTGTTTTCTTCCAGAGGGCAACTACTTTCCGAATATATTTTTTCATTATTTTTATGCGTTTCCATTGAAATTATCCCGTTTTCTTCAATAGTAATTTCTCAGTAACTATTTTTCGTGATTTATTTATATTTTTCTAATGCGTAATTATATTTTCGTTCTTGCTACTATAATTTTGCTTTTTCGTATATATATTTTCTTCTAAAGTTTTTTTTTTTTTATTTGAGAATCATTGTTACTGCCTTTAAAGTTTTGTTCTTCAACTTCAGTTGAATTATAAGTCAACATTTTTAAATTGATCGAGTGTTTCAGATTTGTGTTCTTAGATAATTTTACTGTTAAATGTATATTTATTCGGGTCTACGCACTCTGATGATGGTTTATAAATTGTATATTGTGATATTTCAGTGGAATCTATTACTAATTTTGTTAGCATTTTTGGAAAATAATATCCATACTCTTTCTTGTGGCGCTTTTATAGTTATCGGTGCAAGTATTCCAATTAAATCAATGTCGAGTTTATTGTATCAATTCTTGTACGAGGATCTCGCGTCTATCAACATACGAGAGTAAGTAATCAGATAGTACCCATTTGTGTCCTAATTAAGTATTCGGAATACTACAATATGATTAATTACTCCTGTTCATTAATTTTTATTTCCTTCCATTAGGCCACTATTTTTGTAACATTAGGTTTTTTATTCCAGACCACTATTGTTATTTATTTTTTTGAAATTTCCTCACTTCCCTCAACAAGACTAGTAATTTCCGGGTAACTATTTTCATTATCTATCCACCCAACTACCCCACTAGTGCTTGCTCTATTAGCTTGCTCGTCTACAATTTGATTATTTTTTTTAAATTCCACTTTTATCAAGTTAAGTATATTTTCATAATTTAGTGGAGTTAATATCATAATCGCCACGCTCGGCAATTGGGGTGGCGAGCGGTGTATAGGTATTAAAAATATCAATCAGAGACGCGGCTGCTGCCCATCCTCTTGTAAAGATATCCCTAAGTCGCCTTCTACGACACCCTTGGACAGAAATGGAGTAGAACTATTTTTAGGGCGGCACCACACGCGTTGAAAGAAGATCACGCGCGACAAAGTGGATTATATTACATATTTTAAATTTATTTTATAATTACTAACTGAATAAACTATGTTACAATTGGACTTGATGCAATGAATAATAATTAGCACCTTGGGTTACGAGGAATCTAGAAATTAATATTTTTAAAAGTTTGAGCGTTCTCGAGTGGTGGTTTTTGGTCATTAAATCTGAATCCAGGTATAATGACTGTAGCTTGAGATTCTTCCTCAATAATGTTTACATTTCTGCAATCAATAAAAATAGTAGCTATATTTTCACATTGAAAATATATTATATATAATTACAAATAGTACCTACGAAAGCACTCTTATTTCATTGCGTTTTAGAAATTTAATTATGGTTTTACTGTTAGTTTGTCCGGTTTTTACCCTATGGATACTGAACCCTATTAAATGACTTTTAAAAGGGTCGAAGTAAGTGTGATTAGAAGTTGTACTCAATATTTAGATAGATCATTTTAAGTAAGAAATAATATAATATATTTACCTGGCTTGTCTGAAGCCGTTTACTTCTGTTTTAAATTCTTCGTTGCCTTCTAAAGCATTGCTACTGCCGGGGAACCGCAATTTGTCATTACCAGGTACTTCAGAATCATTTCTTACTTCTGTTATAAATTTTTCATTACTGTTTACAGTATCAATATTTTTTGGGTATGATTTTTCATCTAACGTTGAAATTTTGAATGTTACAGAATTATGAAACGATTCTGTTGTTGATTCTTCATCGTCATTACTTTGTGGGTACCTTTTTTTATATTCATTAGGTATTCCATTTGCTACAGTATAATTTTCTTCAAAAGGGCCATTACTTTCCAGGAAACTATTTTTCTTGCCCATTGAAACTTCAGGTACATAATAATCAACATTGGCATTGTTAATGCCTTTATAATTTAGTTTTTTATTTTCAATAGGATTTTCAGTCACCATATGTAAATTGGCCGTTTCACTGAAATTATTTTTTAAAGCAATTATGTTTCCTTCATTAATCGAACTGTTTTGATTATTACTTTCTCGTCTGCCAACTCTATTTAAATTCGAAACATTTGTCACGTTCATACGAATATTTTCATTTGATTTAATCTTTGTAAAAAAATCTTTCATACCTGTTTCTCTAGCTTTAGGAGTTGTATATTCGAAAATTGTAAATTCTTTTCTATTAAAACTGGTCTTTTGCGGGCCAACGTATTCAGATGATGGTTTAAATGTCGTGTATTGAGACTTTGGAGTCTCATTAGAATTTGCCATAAATTTTGTAAAAATCTTTGGAAAGAGTGCTGATCTTCGTTCGTGTGGCGCTTTTATAGTCATCGGTGCTGATTTTTTATTTAAATCAATGACGGGTTTATTATTTAACGTCATATATGAGGATCTCGCGTCTACCAAAACTAGCATCACTGCATTAACGACAACCTACAACAGAATATTTCTAATATAATGTTACTATAGTTTGCAAAATAATTGTTTTTCGTTTTATTGTAACTGCAGAAACTACAGTGATAATAAATATATTTTAACGATCTATATATTAAGATATTTCATTTTCTACAAAAAAAGACATTATTACTTACCGACGTCATCAGTACACCCATTCTTAATATTTATTCAAAATATTTTAATCTCCACTGAATAATTTGTCGTGACTGTGTCCTGCTTTATCACTCTGGGCTTTTTAAACACAATTCTGCGTTTCACATCCATTTATACTTACTAATAGTTATAAATGGTTGTCATTTCATTTCACTTGTTGCAGTTCTATAGGCATTATAAGCCAAATTATATTTACAACTATCATCTTTAATCGATTGAAATAACGTACCAAGTACCAAAGCAATTGTCTAACTTATTCCTTTATTCTGTAAATTGTTAGATTTTGATGTGTGTCACATTAATTAGTGTCATTAATATTGTAGTTACGAAAAGTCCAAAATAACTACAATAATGGTAAAATATTATTGTAATATATAAACAGCAATACAATGTATATAAGACGATTAGTCGAAGTACTACTGTTATGTGGAGAAATCTGCGGTTAGTAATATCAGGAAGTTATAATCACCAATTTTTATACGATGTATTTATAATTAAAACATAACTTTACGTTAATAATTTATTTGTCATGTATATAGCGACTATCAAACAAGGGAATTGTGTTTTTGATTAATATACCGATGATAAGACTATTAATATGACTACAGTCGAGCGTACGTTAACCCGGAGACAAAACAAGGAACACTTTTTCATACATTCTTGATAGATATTTTGATTCAACTCAAAATATCTTTAACGTCCAAATGAGGTAAATGATGAACTGTGAAACTGAAATCTGGTATAGAACAACAAAATGTGTAGCCTTCACTAGGATTGTCTGGATGCCAACTTAACCAGTGAAAGGCGCTGTTTCCCCTACATATATCCTTACAAAAGAACATCTCCCTGGCTTCAGACATGGTATAATAAGGATTGTTAATACCGACAAAAGCAATACCCTTTTGTGTTCTAGGTTCGTAAACAACTTTGTAAAAGTATTTCGGTACTGGTATAACTGGATTATTATTTACATCTGTCGTCAAGTAAATATCAACTCTACGCCCATATTGGTCTAGGAGTTGTGAGACTCCGTATGTGCCTGTGTAAATGATAGTATCATATCTAGCATTATGTACATGATTTCGTAGGTCGACTTCCAATGTATTCCAGTTACCACCATTAAAGCCTGTCCATTGCGGTGCACAATTCACATAGTGAAAAGTTGCTCGCTCAGTGAATGCAAAAGCAAAATCTGTCTTTGCTGCTAAATGTCCTCTGGAGAGTAATTCGGTTTTAGTTATGTAAGTGTCTACTAGAGGGCCGACCAATTGTGATACAGCAGCTTTTTGACCTCTGGGAGAAAACAACGATTCTACAGGCAGTCCACCATAATTGTCATTATCGATAAAAAATGGACGATCGACTCTAGTTTGGTATAAGGAGTTATAAGGCTTTTGAGTATATTTCGAATATATCGCATTCAAACCCGCTTCGTTGAAACACGACTCGTAAACCGGATAAAACTGATTTTGTATTCTGTAACCTACTTCTATGATGGGATTACCTTCGAAGCACGTTCGATTGGTGCGCTGACTGAGATGCATTTTAGGGTAAGGACATCTGAAACCGTAAAAAGTTGCAGGAGCATTTAACCATTCATCGTTACCAAAATTATTTCCACCCAAACACATAATAGTTCCAGTAGCAATTAGTGACTTAGTCTGCGGATGTTCAATGTAACCCGTATCTTCACAGCTTAAAGTTAGCGTGTCACCGTACTCTAGGTCTATATTTCCATATTCATCTGTCGGTTCTAATATTCTTTCATTCCTTAGAATGACCGGTAGAGGCTCCCCGAAATCTACCCGAGTATTAAGCCTGCATCTTTGGTTATGTTGAACGTTAAAAACACAGAGAATCACTGCAAATAGCCTCTGGAACATTTTTATTTAACTTTTCTTTTTTGTATTTTATAGTACTTTTTCAAATTTTTTGTATCATTTTTATACAACTGATTGCACTTTTAAGATTTAAGAATTTTGATTAATACCAAAGATTAATACGTCAATTAACGATCGTGACACCATGCTCCTAGTATTTCTATTCTATGGTTATTGATCATGATTTTCCCATGGATTTTTAGAGCAAAGTGCCCTTTCTATTTACTTCCTCGCTGAAGCTCGTGAATAGAATTAGGTACCTCTTTATAATTTATAACCCTTTGTGTTACGATCTGCTATTATTTATTAGTCCCATGCCCACGAAATGAGATTCAAACCAATAAGCTAAGCCATGTAACCGTGTCTGGCGAAGTTTTGAGCATTTAATATCACCTATTTTTAAGTTGTTTTATTCATTGTTTTCCGTTTAGATTCTTACGCACTAAATTATCTAAAATAGAGGAGAGTATGATCCATTTCTCCAATTGGATGAAACCACATTGCCGTAGATGAATCTTAAACTAAGTATTTATTAGTTTTTATTCGCTGAGATAAAGTATCGTTATGATATTGTTTTTGGTTTGAACATGCTGAGTTCTAAAGAATAACATACGAAAATAAATATAAATTCAATTTTACTGTATCTAACCTCATATATAAGAGTAATTTCTTGCTCCACACCACAGAATGACGTCTTGATCCATCTGTTTCATGTTCAGTAATAAATCTATGGCATCTAGTGCTAACTCATTGCTGGCTCCATACCGCCGATTCCTTTAGTGCATATTGTACTCAAACTTAGAGGTGCTGTAGATTTTAAGTGATGCGCTTAATTTTACTAAATAATGTTACACGATATTATAAAATAAATAAATTTCAAAATTGTCTACCTAACTTGGCCCTATTTGGTTGATATAGTCGACAACACACCACATTAATATTAGACACATAACAATGTTTTGGTAACTTATCGTTATAAGTCTTGCCATATTAAAAAAATCTATGATCCATACTAAAAGCAAGTGTTATTTCTTTATTGAAGCACAGTATTGCACTGATTCCTCTAGATGACGTTCTAATATGATTTAAGATTTTAGAAAAATGAGCTTCTAAAGTGCTATAGTTTATAGTGTGGTGCAAAGCCACTTTATTTTAAATTATTTATTTATCTCCGTTTCATGACTATGTACATCGGAACGGACTGATGAGTGGAGCGGATGCGGAATAAATGAGCGACAGTATGAATCAAGAATTCATTTCAAAATCGAAGAGGTTGGCGCTGCTAGCCAAAACTACAAGTCCTGAACATTCTTTATTAACTAACTTCATCAAAAAATCACTAACTGTTATTACTACATGTAGTAACAGTTACATTCTAAATCTCCGTTAATTTTCATCAAAACATTAAAACCTAATGTATCAACTTTTCTTTTAAAATACTGTCTATATATATACTTTTAAATAATGAGAATCCTTAATGGTTTTAAGTTCACAGAAAGTAAGTTTTGCGGTCCCTCCAGTACGTAATCCACACTTATATTTCCCATATTTTTGAATGCTGCAGACGGACTCGCATCCTAAAAATTTTTGGAGACATCTCAAGATGTAACAATTTCGTCTCAAAACTTATGAACACACGAGGTAGATCCATCTTTATGAGAATAACAACATATATAAAATAAACAGGAAAAACACCTTGCAATGCAAATGCTACGTAAGAATGAGACAAAACTAAAAAAGTTAAAAATAAAAATCTATTAAAAAAGGTATTTTATTAAAGTTTGTCGTCGATTCGATTTTTTGAAAAAAGTTTTTATTTAGGTTTAGTTACACGTAGCTCTATTCACGTCATTTCAGTGTTTGATTGAAAAAGATAAAACTCAGTATTGCTTGCTAAGGCCTTACTAAGGCCTTTTGTCTTTAATATTTTCAATTGTTGCTGATAAATAATATACTAACTGTAAGCTTCGCCCACGTGGCCTGAAGGTACTGTGTGCATAGAATAGAATAGAATAGAATATACTTTATTGTACACACACATAACACTTACAATTTCAATTTTCAAAAGGAGACGTACAAATGGCGGCATACTAGCCTGCTGTACTGGAGTCTTATGCTAATCTTAATTAAACATCTGCCAATGATATATATCACCTTTACATATCGTTATCATAAGCTTAACAGCGTTCTCACTGTAGGAGCATAGGCCTTCCCAAAAACTTTGAATTTTAGTTGCTCTTTTAGATAAAACTGTTTTCTACCATGAGTAGCTCATTTCAAGTATTTTTATTTTTAACCATTTATAATTATCGGAAGTTTAGTACATTTTTCGCAAACATAATTTAACGCCCCTCGGTTTTGTATTAAAGTATCTCGTTAATAGTCACGCATATATTATTTTGTCGTCCTATAAATAATTCTACATTAAAATATATTCTTTAAAAAAAAAAACGACAACTCAAGGCACTTTGAAACTGAGTAAGTCACAAACGGTTAACTAAATCGAAAAACGGTCTTCCCGTACCCTTAAAATATTGAAAAGACCTATCCAGAGGTCCCCACGGTATGGAAAGATAAAAAAAATAATCTCAACTTTTCATGTAGGGGACGTTTTGTTTTACCACTTTGTCGGTAAACATGATTAGTGATTAAAGTGTATACTCATGCTAAATTACACCTTAGTGGTACAAATCGTGTTTGAGGTAAAACGCAGACGGACATATAGACGGACATGACGGAACCAATTGTTAACTATGGAACCTTAAAATTTATAAAGTAATAAAAACAACAATATTTAAAAAATCAAATCCCTGTTTTAAAAAAAACGTAACATCATTTTGCGAAAACAACAAATCTAACATTTTGTTTTTTCACCCGATTAACAATTCCCTATTAAATTATGTTATTGAAAAATAACCGCTAAAAGAAAGCTACTTTGTTTGATAAAAATCGGAAAAAAAGACTACACAAATAAAAAAAGTCCAAAATCCCGTTTTAAAAGTACAGTAGCGTAATCAATTGATCAGTAGCGTCAGCTAAATGTAACATTTTATTTTTTCGCCCTATTATGATTCCCCATTAAATTATGTTATTGGGAAAATCGCAAAATTGAAAACAAAAGCTACTTTGTTTGATAAAAATCGAAAAAAAAAAGACTATAAACATAACAAAAACCAAAATCCTGTTTTAAAAGTACAGTAGCGTCATCTAGTGATCAGTAAGGTCAGCTAAATGTAACATTTTCATGTACATAAGCAACTTATGCATTTAATATTAGAGACAACGATTGTACCGATTTCAATAAATCAAAACATTATTTAATCCTGCGTAAACAGTTTAAATAATTAAATAATGGTTTAAGAAAAGGATGACATGGAATATAATGAGGAAGTTCTTAAAAAAAAAAACGAAAGCACTAAAAAAGCACTTCCACTAGATGGCAACTCAAGCAAAAGTTGATTTTTGCAGGAAACGAATGGACCATGAAAGAAAGAAATATAAACACGAAAGAAAACCGGAAGGATGGTCATGGAGAAATGAAGAACGTACCGTAGCGACATCTAGTTTGATTTTAATGACAAATTGAATTGTACACAATGTTAACGATTTTATGCCCTATACGAATTTCCACTCTCATTTTCATCTTTTAAAAAAGTAAAATATTCTTTCAAAACGAGAGAATCCTATCCTATTAATCCTATTAATATCCTATTAATATTATAAATGTGAAAGTTTCTTTGTTTGGATGTTTGGATGTTTAGATGTTTGGATGTTTGTACGTCAATCACGCCGAAACTACTGAACGGATTTTGATGAAATTTGGTATACAGATAGGGTGTTAGATGACTTAGATAATAGGATACTTTTTAACCCACTAAACATTTCACTAGGGTCCACGCGGGCGAAGCCGCTGGCGAAAGCTAGTATTTTATATTTGTCTGCAACATTTTACATTGCTGCTCCACTTGTGTAAGTCATAGCGGGTTGTTATACAGCGTTCCTCGATAAATGGAGTATTTACCACAAAAAAAATTGTTCCTATAGTTCCTGAGATTATAGTGTTCAAGCAAACTCTATTTATTTATTTTTTTAGTATAGATATATTGTTTATATTTATTTGGTAATGACATGATTTTTAAAATACTGTCACTTATTTGATGTCTGTTTTTTAAAACGTTTGATCTGTAATAGGGAAGGCCACCAGCGGTACACAGATAATATGATAATTCTCCTACACCCGTGAGGTAGAAAATAGCTAAGAATAAGAATAATGAATTTCTATTTCACTTATATAGAAAACACACAATGGATGCGTTCAAAAACACAAGATATACACATCCCCCAATGAATTAGCACAAAATGTTAAATTAACTATCAACTTTGAACTCTATTTCAATTTAATTTAAAGAGTTTTGAACATTTACTTGATGCACTGTTGTATTATGATAAAAAAGATTTGCAAATAATATTATAATGTTTTATTTTAAAAATATAAAAGAAATCTAAAGTATTTATCCATTAACATAAAATATTAATGAACCAATGTTATTATTTAAAAGGCAGCAGCAACTTAATACGGACAACTAACAATAAGTAATATTACGGAAAGCAAGATGAAAGAATTTACAAAGTGGTCCAGTAGTTGCGAAGTCTGTTCAATCCAAACAATAATAATCTAAATATTTTTCTAAATAATTCCACATTCTAAAGGATACATTCGATATATATGTTTATACTATCACGTCACACGGTCCTTCTATACACATATTCATCCTATATCAGTATATCAGGTCAAACAATATTAATCTATGGGTCAAACTATCAAATATTATTTCAACTAAAAAATATGATCCCTTTACACGACTTAGGTACTGAGATTGATCTCATTCGTATATTGACTCTCATCAGTGTCACACGCGTGTGTTCTATTTAGATAATAATACCAAACATTCCATTGTCCGTCAATTGTTTATTTACTCATAAATAATAATAGTGCTGGTGGT